TATCAAGCTTATTCTTAGTAAAATAACTGATTTTCTCAAGTGCAAAGTAGAACGTCATTTGCGTGGTCCATTGTGAAATTCCACATAATGTCCCTTTCTTCCAAGAGAGTGCTTTGACCTTTTCTCCTTTTTTTTCCCCCCGACCAATAGCCACGCGGCTTTGGTGGCGGCGGGCTCTCCGCCTTCCACGCCGCCGTCCACCGTCGGCCAGTACCCGCCCGTCCCCGCCCACCCCGTCCCCGTCCCGGCCCCGCTAGCCAACCAGAACCCCATCGACAACTTGCCGGCCAACCAGAACGCGGGGCAGGACGGCGCCTTCATGGACCCCGGGGAGGCCAATCAGAACATGCGGATGAACGCGCAGGGCGGGCCGGTGATGGAGGACGAGGAGGACGTGGAGCGCGACTGGCTGGACTGGCTGTACTCGGCCGCCCGGTTCGGAGTCCTGCTCATGATCATTTACTTCAACTCCAACCTGAGCCGCTTCCTGCTGGTGATGAGCACGCTCCTCCTCATGTACCTGTAAGTCCAGCCCGGGCACTTCTCACTCCAAAAAACTGGAACATCTACGTCTCAGCGTCATCTGGTTAAATAATGATTCATGTGTAATAGTCTGAGTTATGCATTCAAGCTTTTTTTCTGAGAAAAATTCAACTTTGCTTTATTTTTTTCTGCTGTGAATTTTCCTATTGGCCTGCTTCGATTTAATTTCTTATTGCACAGTGTATGTCTTGAAGTTGTTTTAAATAGCTATTTTTCTTCTTTTTTATTTTTTTATTAACAAATGTGTTTCCTCTTTCATCTTCCTCCCCCCACAGACACAACGTCGGCTGGTTTCCGTTCAGGCGGAGAGTTCAGGTCCAACCCCCCAACCATCTGCAGCCCGCAGAGGTCCAGCACAACCAGCAGAACGAGAACAGGGACCCCAACGGAAATCAAGTAAGAAACACGGGTTTCTTTCTGATGCGTCCTGAAAAAATCCCCTCCTGAAAAACCTCCTTAAAGCTTCCGGGCCCACGCAGACGTGATGCTCCGGTTTCTGGTCTAATTCTCTCTAATTGGCCTGGTTAAATTACAATGTTTCTTATCTTAAATCCAGTAATAATAACAAAAAAAAGACACTAAAATTCTCTATCGATACATAGAGCTCAGACCATACAGCCAAGAATTGAGTTAATACTTCTACCACAAGGAGGCAGCAAAGAAATTAAGAGACAGGCGACATCATGGTGAAACTAATAAAATTACAAGTACATGTGAGAAAAACGTTAATTAAAAGAAAATGAAAAATTAAACGCACCTGCAAACCCACACGAGCTGCTGGCACCAGCCCTAAATTTAGCCCGGTGGATTAAAGGCTCTATCAGCTGCATTCCATAAAAGGCTGAGCCTGGGTGTCCTTCAGAGTCCAGACCTCGGCTGAGTCTGGAGGACGACCCGTATCTGATTGGTGCTCCTCCAAGAATCCAGAGTGGCTCGCTTAAAAAAAAAAATTAAATTTTAAAGCTCCAGCAAACTGTCTGAGTTTCCTAAGAAAGAAGAAAAGAGGAGTCTAGACCTTCTTCATTTATCTGCAGAAGGACTTTTAGTATCTGCACGCATCCGTCCCATGTCACTAAATCTCAAACAAAGTCCTCTGAAGTCCAGACTCTAGTGAGGACACCAGATAAGCTCCCTCTTTCTGTCCTCAGGCTGACGGGCAGGAGCCGGAGGGGCCGGAGGGGGCGGGGGGGCAGGAGGCCGCGGCCCAGATGGCTGCAGTTCTGGTCCCGTCCCACCGGGTGTCGGTCATGTGGACGGCCTGGGTCTTCTTCAAGACCTTCTTCTCCTCTCTCATCCCCGAGGCTCCTCAGGGCGTGGCCAACTGACCACCACACCGACCAGCGGTTTGAAACACGGGCGCAAGCATTCAGCCCAGGAGGTCAGGAGAACCAGGGGGGCATTTATGAATTCTCACAACTCCAGCCCCTCTCATGTTTTCCTTCCTCATCACCAGCCCTCTTATGAGCTTCACATTCAGTTGCTTTTTTCACTAAATGACAGGAAGTAAGAGACAAACTCAGCCTGTGGGGTCCGGCTGTGTGATGGGCTGCAACAGTAGGAAAGATGTTCTTAATCCAGCTGTTTTAGGAATTCTTAGTTCAGTTTTCCTTTTTTTTCTACAGAATGCCAATAATGTGGATTTTAACATTTAAAGGAAAGATTACGAAAAACAGGAGATTTGAATGATCGTTTTTTAGCCTTCCTGTGTTCCGATTTAGATTAAAAACTGGTCAAGAAAATCCAAAACCAGGAACAGAACAGAATACTCTACTTTTCTCACAGCTCTGTTTTTCTTGTTTTAGGAGGTTTCCCCCTTTTCTTTTCTTTTTTTTTTAAACCGGGGGGAAATTTGTGACCAAATCCAATTCTTTCTGTCAGCTTATCTGTAAAATGTTGACGGTGGCCAAAAGAAAGAAGACTGTAAATATGTTGTACATACACGAAGCACTTTAGAGCGGTTATCTTATGCAAGCTTTTAAACAAAAGGAATGGTTGTGATTTCTCATTATTTTTTTATTAATAATGTAAAAACCAGAGGGCTCCGGACTGCAGAAATGGACAAAGTTCAAAGGTGAAGAGTAACTTCATCAAAGTGAAATCAATTTCAAGTTGATGGCTCGGCTGGATTTTTGTTTTCACTCAATTAACCATCAGGAGATTCTTTTGTTTTGGTCATTTTGCTGTAAAACATTAAACGCTGATATGTGGGGTCAGCAAGATTTACTTTCCGGAAGTTTTACCTGGTGAAAATGGGGGGCGGGGGGGGATTATATTCATGTGGTGGTTAGATTCAAAATTCACAAGCTTTTTAAGTTAAATGTGGGATAAAAGTGGATTTGTTTCCCCTAATTTAGCCATTTTAGGCCATATCTAGCTTTTTTTAAATTATAAAAAATTATGACTTTATTCATTGAAGCAGCCAAAATGGCTGAGAAATAAAAAAGTTAACACCTGAATGCCACAATGTTCTGAAGGTCTCCTGAGGGTTAAGATTCCAGGTGATGAGCTAAAGCTTCCACACACCGTTCATCCTCTGCCAGGCCTTCATATACGTCTTCATCCTGAATGAGAAAATCAATATTTTGGCTTTTTGAGTTCATTAACTGCATGGAACTTTGATCCGTAACAGTAAACGAGCGGTTTTACTGCGTCAGCGTGTCCTTTAAGTAAAGGAGCATATTTTGCATACTGCATTTAAGCTGTAAAAATTAGCACTCTGAATTCCCTTTTAGGGGAAATGACAGTAGTTTGTGACATCGGTCACTTTGTATTCTTAAAATGTAACATGGTGTCTTATCTGTGTGCGAAGCCTTTGCTGTAATAAGCCGCGCGTGTTGAGGATTTCTAATGACGAATGCAATAAATGTTCGACTGAAATGATGATTCTATGTGGAGGTTTTTTTTTCGATCAAAAAACTGTGTTTTTCCGTGTTGAAAAACAGACGTAGATAAAGCTTCTTTTCCGTCACCACTTTCCAGTTCATGTCCTGTTGTTTTTCCTCACTCAGTGCACACTTTTTTTTTCTTTTTTTTCTGTTTATTTATTCACAAAGTGAATCCATTTCAGTCTGACCTACTCCATTAACCCGAGTACACGCCTTTCTGTTTATTACACTACCTCATCCTCACAAGTGCGTATATATCTGAGATAAACGGGTCTGTTTCTACTTTAATTTCAGAACATAAAACCAAAAGAAACGGTCTCCTCGCAGCAAATGTAGTTTGGCTCTCTGTTTGCTGACACTTCAAACGGGCATCTGAGTTACTGCGTATCCCTCTGTGGACATAAACCTCTCCTTCTGAAGAAAACAGAGGGATGGGATGTTTGACTGTTGCCTGACGCTGACATATATCATGTTCCGCCCTTATTTCAAACACAACGGTTCAAACAAAAGGCGCACAAGAGCTTGTTCAAGCACATCCCTCAAGAACACAAGATCCGTGTTTGGTTAGATCAGCTACTGCCAATTACAACTTTAAAGTCAAGTATTTAACCCAGAACCCCTCGGAACAGTCTGCAAACGGACCTTTTTGGTGACAAAGTGCAAGTCAAGCTGGACGTCCTTCGTATGTGTTTCTGTTTGGACACCAGACTTGCTTTTCAGTGTTACTGATTCTCCACAAGGCTTAGCTCAGAAGGTTCAGTGCTAAAAAGGAGGGCAGGGAAAAGAAATATTCCATGACAAAAAAAAGGAATTTCTCACTATATCGAAGCTAAATGATACAGATGGACACACAGTTTGGTTTGCAGCCATTTAGTCAAAGTCTTAGATCTCAGATGGAGCACATAACCAGATGTTTTCTTACACCTAAAATTAAGAAAACATCTGGTTATGTGCTTTTTTAGGACCAGTATTATTCTGATCTGGATATATCAGCCTTTTACTCCCATTTGGATTAATCTTCATCTAAAAATCTCTGCGTGATTGTAAACGTTTTGTTTTTGTTTTGTTTTTTGCAAATCTTTGATTTATTAGCAGTATTCAGACTGTTTAGTTGTTTTTAGTTGTCTGTTAAAAATAGGCTCTGGTTTTGTTTCACCAGAAAATATCCATCTTTATGATTCTAGGCTTTGTAATCCGACCGAATCAGAACTTTGAAGGCCTGCTCTTGGACCTTCGATCATTTATCTGTTTGTGTTAGTTTCAGATCCAGCCACGGTTTCCGGTCAACCTCCAACTTTAACGGTTGCTTTCTGCAAACCAAATGGGTGTTTTTGTCCAGGAACTCTAAAGCTACTAAAGTAAAAACTTTTTCTCTTCGAGCTGATTCGGTTGGTGTTCGTCTAACCAGACTCACTTTTCTGCTTTGTTTGGGAACAGAGGGCTACCAGAGTCCATTGCCTCCTAACGTAAGTGTGAGATACCACTGACGGTCACTATAGGACACAGGAGCAGAAATTCTGACCCTCAGTAAACTCAAAGCTGGGAGGGTGCTCATTTCCCCCCGAAAAAAACCCTAACCCTCCTTTAGTTTTCTACCAATTTCATTTGTTGTTGTGTATGAATGTTATAAGTTTGACTACTTTTTAAGCTTAGCATTCACCAGAAAATTTCCCACCAATGAGAACACAGACTGTCAACTACACATAGGCTATTTTTTTTCTATACTACACATGAAGAACTAATCAATAGTCAGAAAATGCTGGATTTGTGGTGGGCGTTACAACATATAAAACACACACAGACCCTCCTCTCCGAGTATTTAACCAGATCAGTGACCCAACGTCTTATCTCCACCCTGTTTGTACCCCCTCCCACTTCTGGTCCAATCCGCGGAGATTTGGAGGAAAACTGCTCTCTCTCGCTGAGTTTGTGGATGGGCCAGCACAGGGGGACGAACAGTTGAGGTTTCAGAGCCCGTATCCAGTTTCCCTGTGAGCCCGCACACCTCAGAACCTGCTTTGTTAGCAGAGAGCTGGCACAGGGAAACCAGAATGAATTCTAGGCAGAAATGATTTTTTTTAATCAAAATTCCAGGTCATTTGAAGGTATATTTTAAAGGTATGTACATTCGTGTCATTCTGCTTGATTTTGTAGTTTCAGCTTGAGTTCTT